CATATGCATTTCCTCAAGACCTGATTGTAGAAAAATGGAAGCTGAAGTGACAAACGAATGTAGATCTCTCAAAAAGAAAAATGAAGAGATGCACTTCACAGAGCCCCAGAAGGCACAGAAGTCCAAGAGTGAAAATCAATTACTTTATGCAGGGAGAAACTAAAAAGTGACTGCAGAAGAGGAAAAAAGTGGTAATGACTACAAACCATTAACCCATTTTAACTTCCACCTTTTATTATATGGTTACAAAGGGAAAAACCCTGAGACAAATTACCCACCGAATACCTTGAAAAAGAGTAATTAGGTAGAAAGAGAAAACTCAAAGTAAAACATGAGTGATGAGTCACTCCGAGTACTAATTACAGATCTAAGCCAACTAAGACCATGTAGACCCAAAACAGGAAAACATGATAAAAGACAGCCCAGAAAATCAAAACCAAAGGAACCCATGACAAGATAACATTTACATGCGTGAAAAAGTTAGGTGAAAAAAAAATAAAAAAGGTGAAATTTGTAAAAAATAGACTAGAAAATCCACAACATGAAAAGAAGAAAACTTTTTTTTGAAAAAAAAAAAGGTAACATAAAAAACAAACCCAGATGAAAGCTCAAGAGGCGTGAAAAACATGATATTTACCAAAAGCAAACAACATGAACAAAACTACCAACTTACACCAGCAAAATACAGATGAGTACAAGTGACCGAAATTAATTTTAAAGAAAAAAAAATACCGACCCCATAAGATTGACTCTGAGGTTGACCTTGAGCTGGACAAAGAGGTCATAGAGCTGGCCAAGGTCAGCAGCATTGCCGTGAGAATAAAGCACGGTAAGGCGTGCACATGGGTTTTTCAAGTAAAAAGCGACGATCTTGTTCCCACGTTTGGTGTCAATCAAAAGCACATCCAAGGAAGTATCATCAGCAACAGGAGTAGGCGTTGAAGAAGAAGATGAAACCACCGTGAGCTTCCCATTGTCACCCTTCTTGATCTGATACGTTGGTGGAGATGGTGGAAAGAAAGCAAACTTCGCAGCCAGCTGAGAAAACATACACCCCATTCACCCCCCAAGAAGAAGAGCTAAGACAACCCCAACTCATTGAAAAAGGAACAAACTTGAGTGCATGACAGGAAAAGTGGGGTCTCTCAGTCTTTTGGTAAGGAACTGAAAGAGGAGCTATCCTTCTCTTTCTTTCTTTTTGTTTTTTTGGGGGTGAGGAACAGCAAGGGTGTTTTTAATGGGGTCTCTCTCTATTTACAGTGCAGAAGCAGTGATGGGAAGAGCCAGGGTAAACAAAGGTGAAATTTTTTAGATAAAATTTCTATTTGCCTAGCTAGATTTGTCTAAAATCATTCAGTTTCGCTTTAAAATTTTATGATGGGGGGGGGGGGTGTGGGGCGTTAGATTCTGCAGATACATTAGAGTTCAAGCAGAAAGAGAGAGAGTTTCCAGGCTGTTTGGCTGAAGCAAAGTGTATGAGTTGGCAACTGAAGTGAGACAGAGAGTGTAAGGGAGCAGCCAAGTACTACAAAGAAATAGACTAAGAGGGTGTTAGGACTTGGAAAGTGTTTGCAAAAGAAGAAGAGAGGAAACTGTTTTTCCATGGGAAAATTTTCATTAGGGAAGGGCAGAGAGAGAGAGAGAGAGAGAAGATGAAAGAGAAAAATGGGTTTGCTTTGCTTTGCCTTGATTTTCAATACTGACTGAGGTTCTCAGCCAAAAAAACAAGCAAAAAAGAAAAAACCCTCTGAAAAAACAGAGGCGATGTATGTGCATGACTTCATTGCGTGTCAGTGGTACAATACAGGGAAGGGTCAATACTCAAATCTCTATCTGTGCTACAAGACAAATTTTTGTTTTGGCTGTTTTATGAGCTGCCCTTCGCTTTTTCCGAGCTTTGTCATCAGGTCTCAATTTCCAAAAGGCCAAAGCTCAGACTGGTCCGTAATTTTGGACCCAATTGCAAAGTTTTAATCTTCTTTTGAACGTCTCTGACTAAGCTGCTAGATAGATAATGGTGGCTTGCATGCAAATTGGCACAACTTCAATGGCTTATTCTGCTATTTGGCCTAACTTTGATAAAGATATATATATATATATATATATATATATAAAAACACCATGCTTTCTTACTCCAAATGGCCAGTAATATAATTAAAAATTAACAATAATCAAATTTCATTTTAGTCGATATAATCTATTCACGAGATATATAATGTGATAATTAACGAAATTACGTGATAGTTAATATAAATTGAATTACATTATTAATCACATGAAATTACGATATAGTTGCAACTATTAAGTATTTTAGACATAAAATCTCTTCTCTTTTTGCTTTTAAATGCATTTAGATTTCAAGACATAATCATGTAAAAGTGAACTTTAGCTGCCAATTAAGTCAAAAAATGCATGCAATGTATCAGAACTCGTGAAAGAGAAACCAACCCCTTTTCTTCCTTTTATTTGCCTGAATCATTAAAGATTGGAAAATCAATTTAGGCTAATTACCATTAATTTATTGAAACCTGGGATTCTTGAATTTCAATGCAGGTTATGCTTTGAACCCAAATTCAGTTCACACCTGTGGAGCTTAGTAAATAGTACTATACTAAAATAATGACTTTGCTTTGGATTGGATCTAACCCTTTACTATTATTTTCATTAATATATTTAAATATTTTTTCGATTTTTTCATAAGAGCTTAACAATGTCGATTCAAAATGAAGTTAAAAACTAACGCGATTCCTAAAAAATGAACCCACAAATTTTTTTCATCAAATCTCTTTGGGATGGAATTGAAAAACAAAAGCAAAAACATTAATAGCATGTGCCAAAACTGGCTGAATTTTGGTGATAGAAGGAACTTTGTGATACTCTTTTTAAGTATTACTATGGTGAGATGAGGTGGTATGCGGGTGCACCAGAGAAACAGAGTACAACTCGACTACTCCCACCTACCCAAATTGAAAGAAACAATTTAGTGCCTAGCAAAGCTTATAAATGGGGGTAAAAGCTCACATTTACCATAAAAAAACATACAACGTTTCAATGCATTTATGAGAATTCATTTGTTTGATTTTCTTCCAAGAGATTGTCAATTACGTTTTTGCTTCCAATGTCTTTAATTTTTTATTTCGAGTTCATGTTAATTTTAAATTTTTATTTTTTTTAAATGTTATTTGAATCTTTAACTTTTTAATTTAAAACCGATGTAATGTTCGTGTTATAAATTACAAAACACATCCCCTGAACGTTCTATGGGGATAATTTTTTTTTCAATTATTAAAGAAAATATGAAATAAAGAAATGAATTATTAAAACAAATTAGTAAAAATCATGAATTTTATCCACAAAATAAGTACATGCCTATATCCATTCTTTCCCCATCCTATTCCTTATTGAGAGGAAAAAATCACAAGGAAAGAGGGACCCCAAATGTGGCAAATCAAACAAAAGTTGGGACCCAAAATCAGGGCCACCTTGTGATGATGTGTTGTTTGATAATTTCTCAACAGCTCCTCCACCTGAAAGCAGCACTGGTTTCCCAGTGGAGGGGCAGATAAGAGGAGAGGAGGGTGGCGCGTGGGCTCACATCCCACTTGTCAGGCGACGTTGCCATCCGGAGGGGGTTTCAATCCCAACCTTGATTTTTCGTTTGACTTGGGGGAAAAGTCCGAGTCAAAAGGGACCACAATCAGCTTATCCGATGGTGATACCTCACCCAACTTCACATTTTGTGCATCTGACGGCTCTCGAGACCCCACTTTCCTACCAATCATTGTGCGCCACGTGCGTCCATAAGATCGAGCCTGTCCTTGCAATAATAACAAAGTTGGCCAGGAATTCCCAACCTTTTTAAGTAGCTAGCACTAGCTTAGCAAGGATCTTATTCTTATCCTTTCAAAATCATTCAACAAAAGGTAAACCCATTAATTTTTTTTAAATAACAATCAGGGAATGAAATTATTCCCCGTCAGAAGAAAACAACAAAAGAGAGACCAATTTCTCTGGTGTATCGGTATAGAGAAAACCCATTAATAAGTTGTATTATAAGTTAATATTAATGATAATTTAATTAATTAACCATAAGATTAGATATTTTGCAAGAGAAATACCGGTTCCAACAGCCAAAAGAAAGGACGATTAGCTTTGGGTGTAAATCAAATTAGGAGGAGATAATCAATAATCATAATTAAGGTAAAACAGAAAAAAAAATAAAAGAGGGAGATGGTGGAGGACACAATTAGTTCACGTCCTTGTAAAGGACATAATTAGTTTGCAAGAGTAACAAGGATTAATTGGTAGTAATAGCATCGCGTGCATGCCTAAAAGCCAAAAAATAAAAATTATTTCCCATACTTTCCTGGTGTAGTACTATACTTTTAATTATGGTTACATGGATTTGGAAATTATTGTCCGGTCAGCAACTTTTAAGAGATACCATATTTCTATCCCTTTCTTTGGCTAAATTTCTAGCAACTTTATGCAAACATCAATATCGAAAATGTACAAAGAAACAGATAAATATCTTATGTTCGAACTGTAATATTTTTTTTTATAAAAAAAATCTTAAGCTCAAGCTGTAACGTTTTCTTCGGAGACGATCAGATAATACGTTGACGGTGAAGGAAAAAACCAGAGACGACATCATAAATTAGGTTTAATTTCCAAGAAACTAGCATAATTTTAAAACATTGGTAAAGCACTCACCGGCACACTCTTCACTACAAGAAATGCTGTGTCTCAGTATCGTTATATGCAATTAAAACAAAAAACAAAGAGATCTTGGCCATCTAAGAATGTGAGATGATTCCAAAACCTCGTGCATGCATCAATAATCAAATGGTTTAAAAAAAAAATAAAAGGTTAATCAGATAACGATAAGTAAATAAAATCAAAGGCGTGCCTTGACAGGGGGGGAAGTAGAGTTTCTTAGTTTAGTATTAATTGGCTTTCCACTTGTTTGTAGTCGACATGGAAAACAAACACAAGAAGAGTGACAGAGGAAAGCATTCTCGTGCTTTGTATTTTTAGTCAGTTAAACAAATGGGAAAAGATGCAGCGGGGAAAGTGTTTGAGATCTTCATCTTCCCCCTTTGCACAACAAACAATAAACATAAAAAAGAAACACGAGACAGATGCAAAAGTACATTACACGTCAGTTCTCTTTGTACTTAACTAACCTATCAAACATTAAACCTCCCTAGATCTGTCGAAGAGGAACGCAATGTTGATGAATCTAGGTTTGTATGTGAGGTTTCCTAAGAGAACCGTTCGGATCTTTCTCTATTCCTGGTAGAAGGACGGATACATTGTTGTATTCGTACAGATATTTTACTTTCTAACCAAACAAGTTCTCGCGTAATGATATCTAAGCTATCTAGTATCGTCATAATATCAGCCAATATCATTCTTTTAATTGAGGAAGAATTTGCAAATTGATAAAATTTGCCTTCAATCATTTTATTCGATCCATTTAATATTAAAAAGTTTTTGGTTCAAGTACCAGTAACTCTCGTTCATGCTATCCAAAATGTAAGCTCCCGACGAAACAAGTGGAAAACTGCACATCTGCATCCTAACCTGAAGGTTGGAGTAGCCTATCTGTCTCTAAAATTTTTAAACCAAAAAAGGAGGGTCAACAGTTGAGATGTTAGTAGTGAAATTGTTACGAATTCGTATATGTTTGCTGCCCATACTTACCCGTGAAATGTAGACATATAAAAGACAATGTTGAATGCAAAATCAACAGAAGAGCAGACATACAGCTATGGTATAAACAGCAATGGAACTAAACAGTTCACTGAAATACGCAACAGTTACGGAAATAAGGCATGGACTACTTGGCCCGAGTCTTTCTTTTGATTTACTTCTGGAACACTGTTCCTATAGTTCCCAGGCAAATTGGTTATTTGTGTCATCTTCATTCAAATAGAATGAATAATAATTGGAATTAAACAACTAAATATGACGTGAAACATCAAATTTGAATAGATAGTATACACATAAAAATCGCCTATGGACTACTGGCTTTAAGTCTTTCTAGGAAATAAGATCTGTACAGTACAAACCTGAAGCAGAATCTTTGGGATAGCTTCAGTTTCTGATGGATTCGGCTCCCATTAAAGGCATAAACAGAAAAAGAGAAGATGATTGTAATCCACTGTTGGTGTCATCAATATGTATCAATAAATAGGGTTTCTCTTGCAGGGCATTCTTCTATCTATGAATCCGATGGCTTCTTGTTAAGGAGTCAAAAATTTTGCAAGGAAAAGACTAGGCCTGCAGCAAATCAAACCAAATGGACTAAAGTATAACATCGTGAGGTTCTCATTCTAACACTGCAAAAAGCATTAGGTGTACACTGAATACACCACAAAATTAAGAGATTACCAACTAGCAGCTTTTGAAATCATGGAAAGGTTATGACTAGTTCCATGGCTGTGACAAAGAGACACCTGCAGTTGATGCCTCTAACCCTTGTTTGACATGTACTGCAGATTTGAGGACATTGTATTGCTTGGTCACAGACTTATACAAAGCTTGTGAGTATACATCCTTAGCCTGCACAAAAGGAAAGCCAACTCATACTATAGCAATAAACAAGTACAGATATACGTGACATAGCAATGGACATTCTACTAAAACTGACGAAGACCATTGCTGATGAGAGAGTATGAGCCAGGTTTGAAAGTCTTGGCTAATTTTACGCAAAGAGTTGTTGTGGCTGGATGAAAGATTTATATTCCCATAGACATACATGGTGTGGCCAAACATAACTATGAATGTGTTTTTGGTATATTCATTTCAACAACATGAAGTAACTTTGATGTGACAGTCTATTTCTGCAAGTGTGGTGGATCATCTAACATAGATGATAGAAAAGTTCGTGTAAAAATCATAGTGATAAAGTTAAGTCTGCACTGATGAGATGCTATATCATGCACAGCCAAGATATTACTTTTCTAATTTTAGAGAACTGGATTAACTTTTCAAATACCATATTGTGGTAAAGTATCAGAAACTATATGTATAAAACATAACACAACCAACCTCTTCAGACTTTTCACAAGCAGCAGCAATTTCTTGGAAGCAGATTTTTGGTGCTACTGATAATCCAGCCCCATGAAAGGAGATGATTCTTCTTTCTCCAATTTGTGTTTCTACCTGGAAAAAAACCATTGAGTCACAAGAGGAAAAAAATTCATATAACAGAAACGGACATACAAAGACACACCTGGGGTGGAGGGGGCATGATGCTATGGCACAATAGAGCCAAGGGATATATATGCCCCGGAGCACCTGAATGTTCTATGAGCCTTCTCATATTGTCCACTGAAGAAGAATCAAAGGGTGCCTGACCCCCCTTATATTAGTATTAATGAACACAAGCTTATCACAAAAATAAGGTGACAGCATATGTGCAATCAAAAGGTTCAGATATTTTTGGGGATCTAGTAAAGACAGTCAGAATTAACAGAAGAATCACTATTACTTGTTGGCTAAATAAAATCTCCCAATCTACACAATAAACTCTGCAGTTAACAATGTAATACCTAGAACACGCCAATAAACACAATTCCTTCATTTTGTTACCCACAGCATCACGTGCCAATCATATCTGTGCATAAAGCTGAAGATCTGACCTCCTCAAGACATTTTAAAGGATAACATAGGGAGTTAAAAATTAAACAGTTAGAAAGCAGGGAAAAGGGTCAACTCCAATGTTGATTCCCAAGAGTATAACCTCATTCAGAGAACCAACCCTGTCTAGATACACTTAATATGTTGGCATGCATGCAAATCCAGATTATTTAGGATTCCAATTGCTGTCAACTCATAAAGAAGAATAAAGCTTCATACTTAAACTTTGAACTGATCATAAATCAGGCATTAAGCTGCAAGGATATGAAGTGATTGGCAGTATTAAGGACTTAGGTTAAAGGGCATATTAGTCTTTATGTGTTTATCTGATCTAATATAAACACAGTAGCAGACTATGGCATACCTATGTTTCTCCAGTTTTTTCCGTCACCTCTCTCTCTCTATCTCAATGTAGCCATGAATGTTTAAAAGAGTAGCAAAAAGATTCTGTGATTCTATCTTCTAGTCAAGCTATAAATGTTTGGTTTCAAATCCAAATGGATACTACAAAGGCTCGTTGTTAAGGTTGGCTCATCCAAAGAATTTCTCTTATAGTTAAACTAATAAGAGGTCCTGTTTAAGTGTCTCAATTGGGCTCAGATAAGCTAATGAAAGCAGCTTTTTACCCATAGCTAGCTTTATGCCTAACAGTTCCTTATTTTACAAGATGAAATTGATATAAGACTAACTATAGAACTTCTTCAAAACTAATGGTAAACAATTAAAGAGAAAGGCTACAAAAAACTTACGGGATACCATTCTTCTGTAAGGGGATCTGGGCGATCCCTACCACCACTTGGTGCAATCCATAGTATTTTTGATCCACCCCTATATTGAAACAAAATTTTGGCCTAAGGCTGCCAATTATAGTAAAACACATGCAGATTTGAGCATGTCAATATAAGTTATCATTCTAAAAGTATGCCAAAGGACATTAAGGTACCTCAGCAACAAAGCCATCTGTTTCAAGCTTTGGGTGTTTGCTTTTCTTTTCATCTCAACAAGCTCAGGAACATCATACATGTGCTTTTTGGAGTACACACATATAAGATTCCTAAAAAGAATTGGTAAAACATTTTTCCTAAGTGATCCTTGAGCATATTTTGGCATAATCAATTCAATACGAGTAGTAACTCTTTGAGTACCTTCCCATGCTGAAAGGCTTGCAAAGAGGATCTGTTATGACTCTGTCACCTGCAACATAGATCTGCAGCATAAAACATAAATTTTGATTAAGTGCATAGATAATGGCAACTATGGCAGACTCCAATGGAAAATTAATTTAAGGGTGAATCACCATGTTCTCAGCAACATGTGGATTTGTTTTCTCAAGCAACAATGAGATGATGGCTGGGTCAGCTTCAGTCTGGTGGTTTGATATAAGTACAACATTGTGACCCTGCACCAGTTGCTAACAATTATATCCACAAAAGCCACCTAAATGTAAAGATTTAGCCAGCACTGGCACTTGTCAAATTCCAGTTGCATATCAAAAACTCCTGAATGTTGAAAACTTAGTTATACCACTTTTAGCTTGCCAACAGTACAATTGCAAGTAAACACCCTAAATGTTCCCAATGAATGTGATCACTGTGAAATAAGTTCAGCTTTGTTTGCTTATTATAATTATAATGACCTAAAACTAATGAAAACTAAGAAATAAAAGGAAAATGGAAAAATAAAAAAAATTTAAACATACAAAACCCTGTCATCTGTATTTTTTTCTTGGTACATGCTCTTATTAGTTATTAAACAGAGAGCATATAAGTATTATAGCAGTCAGAAGAAAAAACTTCTTCAACTTCCTACCAAGCTCTATTATGGATTTATGATCTTTAACAGTATGTCTTTTCAAATATCATGATAAGAACATCCAGCTGCATCATTGTGAAACAAATGATTGAGCAAAACTCAGTTATGTTCAGAAGTAATTGCAGAAGAATCCCAGGAAAGGGGGGAAAAAGGCTGAGCATAGGCACCTGCTTAAGCTTCTCTTCTATTTCATAGAAAAGAGAGAGATTGCCAACGTATGAATTTCTGCAACGGAGATGATAGAGAGATGTTACGAGAAGTATCAGAAGTCTGGAAAAAAAATCCCCAGTACACCAAACTTGTCTTTGGGGTGGTTGAAATATGAGTAACATAAATTTTATATGAAGCACATCCAAATACTACCAATAATGAATTAAAAGATTATGAGGTAGTTGATAAGAATTAAACTGCAAGCAACACGCAAAATAAGATGTTGCTGGGAAGGGGAAAGGGAGTGAATCTCTCCATTGTTGATGATAAACAATTAAACATGAAGACGAGAAAAACTAATTGAGACCCCATAACAATTGGGGTGCTTTTCATCCAGTCGCAGAGCAGACTTTGCATTTTTTCACAATTTCTAAATGTAAATATTACTTCATTCTAATAGAATAATCACTAGCTGGTCAAGAGACCCTCATGGCATTTATGAATAGACTACCAAACAAAATGCCAAAAATAAGAAACATAGAGCAACCATAAGATTAGATGGTCTCAAAAAGAAACTAATAATTAAGCAACTGATTTATAATCCTTATTGGATTCATATATGTCCTAACCACTAAATTAGAAATCTAGCATCTCAGTTTACCTTAAAAATGTTGTGAAAATGAAAAACTACAAATTCCTTCACCAAAGCACATCTTGAATTTTCAGGGGAACTTTTTGCAAACTAAATCGGTACAAGTAATGAAACCAGAATAAGAGGATAGTGCGGAGTCATCCACTCACCTGAAATCCATCAATGGCCGAATATAATTTTGGCCAAACATGTAGTAGTCAAATGGCTCTCGCAAAGCTTTGTGGTAGGGTTCAAAGACAAAAGGATCCTGAAAAATTACTGTCATATTTCATGCAGAAGTTTATAAAAACTCATAATCTGTATGCAATATCTGAAAATGGAAGTTCATATATGTTACACATCTTGACAGAGCATTGTAGTACAATTACCTCCACATCCAACAGCATACGGTCAAATGCAACAGCCATGTTTGACAGCACAATCTCAACAGCTGAGGGATCTCCACTTTGGAAAACCTAAAATGTTGCCACATGAAAAAAAAATAAAAAATCTCAATTTGGATAACAGATAAACCAAAGAGAAGCAAAGATGCTATACAGAATGTCAGATGCCAGAATACTACCGTAGATTAAAACGAGAAATAAAATTCTTTGCCTTCATGTAGAATATGTAAATAGAGTGCTAAAGTAAGTGACTTTTCTCTTTAAATTTTCAGTGGTAATGGTAAAATGCAAACATTAAGTGATAAGGTTTGCGCAAATATTGCATTTATTAAGTGGTAAAATATTAAAACCATGCAGTTAGACAGAATACTCAGTAAAATAGCTTTCTTGCACCAAGATTTTTAAGTGCGGACAACTTTTTTTTCTTTTTTAAAATTCAGGTTCAAACTGACCTAAACATTAATGACATTTTTTTTAAACAAAAAAAGAAAAACTAGAACTTATAAAGAAGGAATATCACATTATTTAGCATCGTTGAAGAGTATGCACCTGGCTCTCATAACAAATAATGTATCTTATGCCAGCATAAATCATGCATTGAATGTAAAAAAACAAAGATTTAAAAATAGATAATGGTAGATCTAATAATATGAGCTTATAAAGACATAAAAGACTGTTAACATTTTCTAGAAGAAGATTTTTGCAGCCAACTAAACGAACATAGTCTATACAGAGGAGAACCTATCATATCTTGAACATACATTAACGTGCACTAAAGTAAGGGTTCAAGTATATCAGTTTACTGCATTTCTATAATTCTGATATAATTCTTCCATTCCTGCTGCAACGTTTGGAGGTAGCCTTCCTGCTTCTACTTCCTTCCTAATTCCAGATAGAAGTTCTGTAGACAAAAAGGCAGCATGAGACGATTAAACCAGTCCTCCAGTTTAACTTTGGAACTACAAAAGGCTGTAGTTAAAAGTAAACAGCAGGATGTATTCAAATAGATGAAATGTTTTCTTTTATTTCATGGTCACTTATTCTATCAATAAACCAAACCTTTTCAACTCTTCTCCATGTCCAACCCTCCTTTCCAATCCATCCTCCATCTAAATACTGAGTCGATTATTTTTCTTCTCCAGAACCTTCAAGACATTATTCATTATATTCCAACACAGAGAAGACAATGGCCCAGCATTCTTTTCCTAAAGTCTTAAAGTCTAACGGTTTGCCTCATTCTTTGATTGTTGTTGCATTAGACTTATCCTTTAATCAACCTTCCAGGTTTAAGAGGTTCATAAGAACCTTACTCCAGCTCCACTTAATCATGGTTATCTTTCTTCATTGTAGGTTTAAGAAACAAAGGTTAACAGCTTTAGGAATCTGAGATGAATGCAGCAACTAACAGGGCAAGTGCTTGCTGTCTCTCCCCATTGACAGAAATCAGGGAAAATGGGCCTTAACTGAAAGATTGGATTTCTTTAAATTCTATTTGCAGTGGCTGGTCCATATCCCAACAGAAGAAATTAACAGTTTTGATTTCTACAATATCTTATGCTTCACACCAATTAATGCAAAACCAACAACAACAATTTGGCTAATTGAAGCAATTCTAATAATTAATCATGTTCTTGATGAATGAACAGCTCTTATCAATAACAGATTCCATCAAAATCCATTTCTGCAGAAAACTTTTCACATGAAGATCTTTTGAGCGTTAATATTTATTTCAATTATTTTTTCGTTTTTTCCAGCAACAGGTTCAAAATAAGCAAAATTGTTCTAGTCCAAGCTTCATGAAAAACCATAAAAAGATTTACCGTTAATCCTAAATAAAAACAAGCTCAAATTAAATCATTATTTTAGCTGCATATAACCATCTAAAACCAGAGATACAGTATCAGCACTAACGTAATCCATTAAAGCGTTAATTAAATACTAAAAGCAGTTGACGGATCACGTAATCTCTACGATTTCTAATTCTTTACAACTCATAATTTTAATTACTAATTCCTTTTCCTTCCTCAGAAGGGAAAAAAAAAGAATAAGAAACAATTGTACTTATATACATAAAATACCTTTTTCCGCTTTTTGCAAATAAACAAGAAAAAAAAAAAAAGCATCATAATATGCAGAGTATAATATTCGAAACTTCATTTGTTTAATAAATATCAGAAAAAGGAAGGAAAAAAAAAGCTAAAAAAGAAAACGAACCTTGCTCGGAGCGAGCTTCGAGGAAAGTACGGGAGTGCTCAACCTCCGGCCTCCCGCCTCCACTACTACCAGTGGCGGCCACGCCCGATTCCTTATCTTGAACGAGCTCAGCCATTGCCTTAGCTTTCAAGGAGTAAAACACGCAAGAGAAACTCCTCGTCGTTCTTCTGGAAGTAGATCGTAAGAGCTCGACTCGCTGAAACGGAACCAAAGAAGAAGAAGACGAAGAAAAAGCAGCAGAAGGAGGAGAAGATTTGCGTGTGAACGAAAATGGAGCCCTGGTGGAAGTGCCGCTGAAGAATGGAAGAGGCAAAGTAGACATTAGTGTCTTGGTTCTTGAATGCAAAAAGAGAGAAAGAAATTTTGAGTGAAAGAAAAGAAAGAACGGAAAAATATGAAAATCCTCCTCTCCTCTGTTATCTCCCTCTGAAAGTGGAAATGTGGAATTTCATTTTTTTCCCTTTATAAATATATATATATATATATATTTTCCGTTTGGGTGTTTGTAGCACGTGACTTACATCGCCCGAAGAGCGGACGAATAGGGGAATAGATGCAGATTGCTGACGTGTACGGATATGGATTGGCAAGGGGATGGGTTACCGGGACGCGTGTCAGCAATGTTAACAAACCTTTTTTATTTTTATTTTTTTCTGTTCTCAATTATCCAAGTATATCCTATAAGATTTTCCTTTTTTAAAAAAAAAAATTGGAAAAGATTCGGTCTTTAGGACCTTAAGATCGGCGTATTTATATTATGAGTTATCTATGGAAAAAAGCCCTTTTCTCTCAGTTGGGCTGGTGTATTTTATTTCATATATAATATATATATTTATATATATTTTGTCGATGAAACTATGAAAGGGTAATTTTTGTTTATGCTTTCTTTTTTACTGAGAAAAAAATTGGTAATAAGGTATAAATATTTGATCATCTAGACTATTATATGCATAAAATGTATGATATTTTATTACATTGAATGCTCGTATTTTGTGTATATCTCTATGAAAATTATTTTTGCATGTTCTCTATATGTTCATGCGACATGTTTAATGAAAATTATTGAGTTTTTCGGTGCAATTAATGAATTTAAAATGCATTGACAAAGTCAAATGAATTTCAAATACATCGATAAAGTCAAAATTATAGTCTTTAAAACATGTTATATTTATATAATGAAATGTGAGGATACTTATGGGACAAGACATTACATTGATGAGAGAAAAGGAAGACAAATGTTGAAATAAATTAACTCGACCCATACTATTTAAAATTATACAAACAAAGCATATGGTAGGAAAAATGCAAAGAAATAGTAGTAGTGGTAGTACATTACAAATTGGATTTGACAAGAGCCACTGTATTTGTCTCTTTTATTTATTTTTCCAAGGAAGAGACAATTAAAGCTTGGAAATGTGCATATGCCTTTGGGTCCATCCAAGCAGCCCTTGTTTATTGTCAAGTCTAATTAACATCATGAAAAATACTTCCGTTGTCATTTTTTGGATATTACAAATATATTTTTCATGACTTTTTATTATTTTATATTAAAAATATTGAAGATTTATATTATAAAAAATTAATTCTAATGTAAAATACTTTAAAATCAAAATTTTTACCTTAATTTTGGTAAAAATTTAAAAAACAAAAAGAGTCATGGAAGATATTCAATACAGAGCCAAGTTTGTCATAAATGCTTCAATCGTTCCATGTCATTGACATGGAACCCAATCTTATCCAAAACAGAGGCAACTCCTAGCTCCTAATTTTCTGACGGGTTTGCTCCTTTCGGCCAATTTTATAGGCTGCTTTTCTGGTTCTGAAGTTGCAACAACTACTCTTTCACCAGCCCGAACTGAGCATTTTAGCGGTAAGTGACAGTCGGACTAGGAATTGAACTTCCATGAAACTCTTTCATTTAGATTAATGCACGCAGTATTTATGGAATTTTTCCAGGGATAATCAAATGGTTCCTTGGTGACTCTTTGCAATAGCAATGATCCTTGTTTTGTACTCAATAATTAGTGCATGATCTTTCTATTTAAACCCAACATTATCAGAAAACCGGCTCGTCAAGTTTCACGAGACTCCAGCTCCCTAGAGGCTCAAATAAGATTTGACACAATGGGACAACAATTCAATCACGTGAATATGTAAATGTAAGTAGATAACTTGGTTCCTGATTCCACCGCACAACACTGCAACCATACTCGCAGTTGCCACTGTCACCACCACCATCTTCGATCCCACAATCAACTTTCTCTATTGTCATCCCCGTCGATATGCTAACCACAATTGTGGCCATTATTGACACCAACTAATTACCCTAGCCAGATAAGTAAATTCAAAGCAATTGGAACTTTATGCGGAATGCCTTCAATTTCCCCCTGCTTCTTACCCAGAAGAAGAATAATATTCCTAGATATGATCAAGTTCAAGCGCTAGGGAGTGGTAAACTTATGCGGAACTTAAGTTGAAACTGAATTTTACTTTTAGAAATTCCGTGTAGAACTTGCAAACTAATATCAGTAGAGGGATCCAAAATCTAAAATGCCTTGTGCAAAGAATAAACACATAAAGTAATCAGAACAAGCAAATTGACACTCCAATGTCTTCTGTTTCCCTCCAAGTAATTTCAAAACCCTTAAGACAAAGACAAACATAAAGTATCAACTACAGTTCCGCATTACATATGCTGTATGCATAGGCTCATAATAACGACCAAAGAACTTAGTTTCATGCTATATCCAGAATCATTGCCAGAAACTGAGAAAACTGCAGTCCAGCAAACCTGGAGGCACGATTTTATCCAAGGAAATTCATGATCACTAAATGGAGCACCAAGTTGCAAAGAACAAAATCCGCAAAAGCCCGCTCAGGTGGCAGATCCTGCAATTGATATGAACATTATCAGGTTAAGGATTTAACCTGCAGAGGATGCTCAAGCCTGTATACACCCCAGTTCCCACCTCATCCTCAGGGCAATAAAGAGAAAAAATAACTCTTTTTGTAGGGTTTAAGGCAGTTCAAAACCATTGTAAGAGAGATTTGAACTACTCAAATCATCTGAATTTCAAAAGATTTTGGTTCTCTCTCCCCTTCCTCGGTAACTACCCGAGTACAAGACAGAAAATATGGAAAAAACTTACCTTGAATTCCTTGTTTTCTTTGTTCACTTGAATACGAAGACAAACTGTATCCAATGAAACCAATCCGAATTAGTGTAAGAATACGTCTTTTAACCTAACAAAGAGTTATACAAAGTCCACTTACCAGCAAGGACTGCTGTCCCAACACAAGAAAGCACTCCAGAAAGAAATGAGTTGAAAGGAAATGATCCTACAATAGCCATGTACACTACCTGCGGATCATATATGCAACCAAATTAAACAAAATTTGGCTACAACTACTCGAACAAAAATGGGATTGCAACCAGGGGTGGAGGGAGAAGCATTAAGAGTAACAGAGCAAAAATCAAAAGATACATGACCTTGATCCAACGGTTAAATAGTCAGTAGTCTTATTCACATTCTATTCTAAACTAGTTTTCATGGAAAATTTTCACTACTATTACTTATAAACCCAATAATTCATTCAATCTATACTTGCATTTCTAATCAAAACTTCTGCTAATGACAAAGTACAGGATGTCCAACCAACATGTAATTATAGAAAGAAATCAAAGAATTGAAAACCCCATTTTACAAAAACGAACACAGATTTCTCAAAATCAATGGAAGTACCTGAATCAGAGCTGTGAAGACCGCGAAACCCACATATAGATCAATGATCTGTTTCACAGAAAACCCCCAAAACAGAAAGAATTAGAAATTCAGATTCGGATAATTCCAAGAAATAACGGGTACTTCATAGGAGAGGGAAGAAAGAGACAGAGAAAGAGAAAGAGACCTTGAGATTGACCGGAGTGGCGGCGTAAGCAGAGCGAAGAGAATGGAAAAGGGCTTGAGCGTCCTTGGTTGATGATGATCTCCCCATTTTCTTTTTCTCTCACGATTTGCTTCGGCTCCTTTCTCACTTCTCGCTAACTAAAATGTCTCCTACTGCTAAATTGGTTAACTCTAACGAGTCGTCTGAGTCTAATACTGTATCGGGTCAACATTGATTGGATCTCAGGATTGAATCTCGATCGTTCATTTCAATCTAAGTCTTATTTCAGCCCTTTCATCCCTTATTTCTATTAAAATTTGAAATTTTATTATATTATAAGTGTTTAATAATTGTTAATATGAAAAATAAATTTATAATATAAAAAGGTAAAAGATCAAGTGTTAGAAAAAATCTATTTTGATACATCCCGAAAATAAAAGATAAAAAGAAAAGACCGGAAGAGTTTAGAAATTATATATAAAAAGTTATTTAATTTGATGATAATTTATAACAATTAACAAATGGTGTTAAGTAATTAAATTTGAACTTTAGATGTTGAATCCAACCCAAAAAATGAGATAAAATAAAAAAAAATTACATGTTAATTTCAGTTTGGGAATTTAATTTTATTGGTACTTAGATTGGTGCCAACCAGTATAATGTACGCATGGATTTTAAAGAAGGATTGGAAAAGGATTTAATAAAACAAAAAAAAAAGTGAAAAAATTGACAGCAATGGCTGTTCCAGCCACAGTTTTGAATACAATTGAATATAAGCAGAGCAACACTAAACACTAAGCAGTTCCTACACCAAAATCCTTACAGCAGATGATAGAGCCTGGAGCTCTGTTTGCCCAACCTTCTTCCAAAGACCATCCATCATAAGAAGGCCAGAGGTGTCTGGTGAAGAAACATCTTCACCACCCGATTCGCGGTTTCCTATTGTTTCCTTTACCTTCTTAGGGCTTGACAAATCCAGCAACCGGATATCATCACTAGCTTTTCTCTTGCCACTGCAAAGGTTAAGTTCACCGTTCTCCTTCCCTTCCACTAATTCTGTATCCCTTAGGCAGTCGTTATGACAGTCAAGCACTGGCATACAACCTGAAGACCCGAGAGCACGAGGCAACATACCAAGAGGACATGGGTTCCATGATTTTGCCACAACCCATCTGTTTGAATTTCTAACATCAACAGCTGTTTTGACAAATGTGCTCTTCATTTGGCGGAGTTTAACCAGTTCTAGCTTCTTAGCAGCTTGATTATCAGATTCCTGCTCTTGCCTAACAGTTTTCGAAATCTCGAGTGAAGAATTTTCTCCAATGTCCACTGTACTTGACAAACCTAGTGACCAAAGTTTGTTGAGTTTCTCCATCAACACACTGTTTCCAACCAGCTGTGCAAGATGAAGGGCAGAATCCATGAGACGCTTGTTACCAAAAGCTGACACCAAGAGACATTTACGAAGGAGCTCTTTGAAATTTTCATTTGACATGCTTTTCCCTCCAGAACCTTTGGCAGGCTTTAATTCCGAAAGATGTCTGACCAGCCATGCAAACAAAGATGAAAGATGTTCTACTTGGCAAGCCTCCCCGCTACGGTCTGATGATGTCAGATGCCCTTCTCAATAAGAATCAGGAAAAGAGAAAGGCAAAAAAGAGAATGAAAACAGGTAGACCGAGGTTGAACTCTTTCACTAAGCTAGAAGACAGTGTGCAAAGACCTAGAGTAAATTCAAAAGGAGGTACAACCAAGTCAATAACTACATATTTACCCGTTTGATATTTCAATGCTTCCTTTGTCCCAATCATATCAAGAACCCTCTGAAGAAGGGCCAAAAGCAAGTCTGGTTCCTTCTTTGAGAATTTTGTTATCACAAGCTCCCAATCATCCCATGAAGCATGTTTATCTTGGCCTGCTTTGGAATCTTTAGCAAGGTCCAGAAAACTTGAGGAATCTACAGCCTTCAGCAAGAATTCCAATAAAACTGATACTACTTCTGAGGATGATGTAGAATAAAAGCTTACAAGACTTTTCAAGATTTTAGCAATCTGTTTCTTAAGACCTGAAATATCAGAAAATTTATAATGTTAATATAGACATGAACAGATGTCTCTTCGTAAATTTCCCACAACAATATCCCAAGCCAGAACACTAAAAGAGAGAAAACCTGTAAATTCTGCATACAATATACACCCTTCATATTTTTTTGGATAGAGCATTCATATCAAATGTAACAGTATCCCAACATGTTAAGTATTCCCACTCATCCCCACATGTACCAAACAAAAACAATCAGGGAGGATATCTTACCTCCAGATTGGGATGAATGGACCTTGCCTGCCATAAGTGAGAAAAATTTACTACGGCCGCAAAGGTGATTGAACTGCCTGCTACCTGTTAAGAAATAATGATGCATGCTATTTAAAGAAGAACAGACCCTAAAGGTTAAAAAGGAAAAGATTACGAAATGGCACCAGATAATGTGGCCCAACACATATAATCCAAACCATGCCATATTTGATGCAAGTCAGAAAGATTGTCTGATAAATAATCCATGGAAATATATTGTTTACACTTATATTAGTTACAGAAAAAAAAATCAAATTTTTAGCATCAAACTATTGGGTTATAATCACAACTGAAAGAAGAGACAAAAGCTCTAATGTTGACTTCTCCACAACTATTGAAGAGAAGGGAAAAACTTCACAAGCACCTTTTCCTTTGACGAGGAAAGATCCAAGTTCAGGACTCTGCTGAGCTTTTATGCAGAAATCCAATTCACGGAGTTTGGATTTGATTTCTTTTCTAATATTAATAGCTCCATCTCTTTGAAATGGAATTTGCTCCTTCTGAGGTTCCCAATAATAGGATTTCAGCCAATTAAGTGCCTAAAATTAGAAAGGATTAAACGAAAATTCATAAACTTGAAAAAGAAAAATAACAGCTTGTAAGATAAGGATGATGAAGAGAATAAGAAAATAAATCAAGAGCTTACCACAATTGAGGAATCCCGAACAACAGCCAGTGCTGGGAGTTCCCGGTGAGAACCCTCTGCAATCAAACCAACATCAAGAAACAAAGCAATCTGAGTTCTAAGTCTACATCAAAGAAAATAACTTATGAACTGCAAAACGATTAAAGCTGCTTACCATGACGAACATCAATCAGCTTACGTGGAATACCGATTGCGTCAGCTGCATCAGCAATGGAAATCCCTGTTCTCTTGCGTGTCTTCTCAACCACACAGTTAACAAGCCTTAAAAGACAACACAAAAAACATGACAAGCATAAAACTAGGAAAGGTAAAACCTTTAGACATAAACTAACTGTTTTACTACTCTTCCATTTTTCACTCCCAAGATTTTCCCAATTACTAGAAAAGAAAATTACCTCAAGATTGCCATACAATACAACATAGCTAGCATTTGTTCCGAATGCAAATCATCCTTCGATTTGTCGCCTCTACAGTTAGAAGGAAAACATAACTACTTCGGGGAAAAAAGGGGGAAATCTTAAATGTAAACTAAATAGTACTAGAAATCGTGGTTACCGGAAGAAAGGGTCGGTCTGCTGAATTTCAATGATTGAAGCAGTGACATCAATCACAACCGGTAAACAACCTCGGCTACGCCACGCCGATACCTAACATAGAAAACATTACGGGAACGTTAAAAGATTTTCCGGTAAACAAAAAAATGAAAAGAGGAAAACAAATAGAGGAGATGGTATTACTCTTGAGAGAGCAGAGGAAATCATGGCCGGAGAAGAGGAGAAGAGAGATTTTCTCACGGATTCCCACTCGGCCCAGTTTAACCACGGCACCAATTTGTAGCCGTTGGATGATGATGATGATGATGATGAAAGTTCTTCATTATAAGCCGCGATCGTTTCTTCTTCGAACCATAACAGTCGTTCCATTAGGGAGGCGAGTGAGCTGAGAGACGGAAGAAAAAAGCGGGAAAGAGAGAGATTCGAGGGAACGAAAAAACCCTGACTCGACAACCCCGTCGGATCGATAAAGTTCGAAGGGCTTCTTTTTTATTTTTAAACCCTTCACGAATCAACGGTCACAAATGAACCTCCTAATCTCAACCATCCCAAATGCACGGAGCACAATGTGTTGAGTATCTGTTATTTTGTTGCAACAAACAAAATAAAATATTAAAGATATAAAGTTTACAAGAACTTTGTATTATATTTATTATTTAATAAAAATTTTAATTTATTTTAATTAAAATAAATTATTTTTTTAAAATAAAACGAATTTTTAATATCAATTATTTTTTTTTTATCCACATGACATATAAACTCATTAATTCACGTCATAAGTGATAAAATTAGAAATCAAAATTAAATTAATCAATTATTAATAATTAATTTTTTTTCTTTAATTATAGTAATTTTCAAAAAATTTATTCTTTTTTTAAATTAAAAAAACTGAAAGTTTAAAAATTTTAGATTTTTTTTAAAGAAAAATGGAAAGAAATGTTTAGCAGCCACTAAATTAGTCCATTTAAAAAAAAACTAGCATTTTCATTTTTTTTCAGAAAAATAGAGGTTTGCAAATAAAAAACAGGATTGAATGGTAAATTGAGGCATCAAAAACTTTAAAGCCTGTAGACGGTAGGAGTTTGATGCCACATGTACATCGCGCGACGGCCCATTTGATTGCCAGCAACGTCTTCTCCGAGATTACCGCCTCACCGGTGACGCTGATTGCCTCATTTCCTTTCGCGGCAAAATGACGTCGTTTCGGGCCTTCCTTGCCGTTACAGCTCCTCTCTCTTCTCTCACCACCGCTTCCTTTCCAACTCGGCCCAACTCACTTCCTCAGAACCGGTCCTCTCCTTTCTTCTCCACACAATTTTTTTTTTTTCTTCCTAAACACTAAAATTGATATATTAGTATTTATGTGTAGTCTTTTTTTCCCCAATAAAACGGATAATTATTCATGTAATTTCCTTTATCAATCCGAATTTATGCATGTCGAAGCAAATACATCTGTTTTTCAATTTCTTGCTTTTACAAAATTTTTGCCTTGTTTCGGCTTGTCAATTGAGGAATGTTTCTTTTTCTTTTTGTTTTGGGTGGAAATTGAAATCTTTTGTCCACTTTCTTAGTTACTTGGAAGTCGAATTCGACAGTGTGACATTGGGTTTTTCTCTGTGTTCAATATGATTGCAGCTTGTGCAAGTTTGGTGTGAATTGTAGATATGCAGAAGCAGGAATCAAAGATGACTCAAGATCCCCTACCATAGATGTCGTGGCTGATGTCAAGAGCGAAAAGGTATTATCGTTTGAACTCTGCGTGTTTGGGTTGTTAATAACCACAGATTGCTCACCAACATGGTTTCCTTTTTAGGTTGTTGTCTTAGGAGGCAGTGGTTTTGTTGGTTCTGCGATATGCAAGGCTGCGGTATCCAAGGGCATAGAGGTTATAAGCCTTAGCAGGTCTGAAAGTTATCCAACTGATTTGACTTGCTTATGTTGCCTTTTTTGTGAGTGATTAAGAGCTTAATAATTTGTTTAGAAACTTGAACTTTTTGATTATTTCTTTCAGGTCAGGGCGCCCTACTTACCCAGGTTCATGGGTGAATCAGGTTAATTGGATATCAGGCATGTTTTGTTCTCCTTTGAATAGATCCATCTTTATTAAAGTTCTGTAATGCAGATAGTCTTACAACAATAGAGTGGAGAAACTCTCTTGCTTGTAGACTTAGAATTTGCCATAACATTGAATGTCAGGTTCTGAATTTGCTTTTAGAACTTTTCTTCCTTTTGGAATGGATAGCTAATATAGCAAGGATGGCGTGATTGTTGATAACCAGTTAGCCACGTTCTTGTTTAGAAGTTCAAGATGTAACATCTCTCGAAATGTTGCATCTCTCAACTGAAAAGAGAGAGCTATATGTCTCCATTGTTGCTGCATAGGTTGTGCATTGGTCCTATTACCCTTTGAGTAGACTATTGCCACTCCACAGGATGTTAGATTTTGGTCTATGTAAAATCTTTCTTTGCTGTTCGGCTCATCTTAGTCTTAGTTCACTTATCCTCATTTGTCTCTGAATGCAATATAAGGAATTATCTAGTTGTTACACAGGAGATGTTTTCTATGCAAACTGGGATGAAATACTTGTTGGGGCTACAGCTGTGGTTTCGACTCTTGGAGGTTTTGGCAGTGAGGAACAGATGAAAAGAATTAACGGCGAGGCTAATGTCACAGCTGTAAATGCTACGAAGGATTTTGGTAAGGATTATTAACGATCAACTTATGGTCGTTTAAATCCTTAACTTGAATTCTTGCTAAAGGATTTTGGCAGGGAGTATATCCTCTGTAATATCTTCCCTTTTCCTTGCAGGGATTCCCAAGTTTATCTTAATCTCAGTGCATGATTACAACCTACCATCATTTTTACTATCATCTGGATACTTCACAGGAAAGAGGAAAGCTGAATCAGAAGTTCTTTCGAAATATCCAAACTCTGGTAATCTATAATGACTAACCTTATTGGCTCTTTCTCATGTTTGGGAAGATATTTTAGATGCCTGTCTAACGATTTAAAACTAGTAGCAAGAAAGAGATTTCTTGCGAACAATGGTAGGGGAGGTCAGTTATGTCAAAAGTCACTTCAGGATGAACAAGCCTTAGTCCCACTAAGGCAAGGGAAAAGGGGAGACTAGCTAACTCACTAGCATCTAAGCGAGAATTACCAAAGAAGAGTGATGATCGATACCTGTTCAAATGCACATCATGTACCTAATGCCATGTGTGGATTCTTTTGTTGAACTTTAACCCTTTCAACTGATCCTGTTTTACCATCAAACACCCTCTGCTTCTCCTCTTTTTAACGTACTCATCCTTCTCTACTAAGTGTCTTTTAACTTTTTTTTACTTCGGACTTCAGGTGTTGTCCTAAGGCCAGGTATCATATATGGAAAGAGGAGAGTGGATGGTTTTGAGCTTCCGCTGGATCTGGTTGGGGAGCCACTGGAGAGAATTCTTAGCGCTACAGAGAACTTCACCAAGCCTTTAAGTTCTCTTCCAGCATTTGATCTGCTCTTGGCTCCGCCTGTTAGTGTAGATGATGTTGCATACGCAGTCATAAATGCAGTAAAAGATGACGACTTCTTCGGCATTTTCACAATTGAACAAATCAAGGAAGCTGCTGCAAAAGTGAAAGCTTGAATCACTTAAATATATGAAACTAGTTGTTAGTAACCTATATACAGGACCTGGATAACAAATGATACTTGTTTTAACATCCTTCATGTTGTCCTTGATCGTTCAAATTGACTAATTACAAAGTTAAGCTGTTGTAAAGTGTTTCAAATTTATTCATGAAAAATATTTTTTAAAATATAAGGCAGCAAACCCCAAAGGTCCTGAAGTAATAAAAAGAAGCAATTAACCATAAAAGGTTTTACAGCAACCCTTCCTTGCCCTAGAGGAAGGGAAACAGCTATCTCTCGACAAATAAAAACTTGATATATTTAGATTTTAAGCAATTATACAGCAAGAGCTGAATGAGATACAAAGCAACCGGTGATTGGGTGACTTTGTCACTGTAAGCCATGTCAAAATACAGTCTATAAAACTTGCAACACGCCAGATTATTTGTTTTTATATGAGCAAAACTTGGAACAGCTCTGTTCCTCATTGCAGAAGAATGCTTATCACTGCCGTTTCCTTGCAATACTCTGCTCCATAAGATACCTGCACCTCAATGTCAAACTCCCATGATCAGGAGCGTTCAATAAAACTTCATTATTTGATATACAAATTTAAAGGCATACTTGCGGAGATATATCGATAGCAGAAGTTACTTAATACAGTCTCATGAAAGGCAATGTGTAGGCATAACTCACATGAAAGAAATGGATGAAACATCCAGCAGGAATATACATATGAAAATAACCAATAAGGCAATACTCTCTTAGAGATCACATTAGACTGGATGTCTGATACTTAATGAATTAGCCTCTAGCTTTTTATCACAAATATTTATGGTAGCCCATCAAGACAAATTTATATATGCCTGATCCTTGTGAGCCCTCAATCAGCACTAGATTAGGAAAAGGCTGGCTCAGCTTAAAGATATATTTTCATAGATGCTCATTTACCATAATCATTAGAAAAAGGGGCATAACGGAATTACTTACTTCCCCGTGTAAAAGCCTGCAGAATACCATGCATTTAAAAGTACAGTGAGATCAGTTTCACAGGTAGTACTTTGATTCGTTTCCCCTTCACCGTCTTTCTTCTCCTTGTTGTCTGCACTCAAGGAAAACGTAAATCAATCAGAAATTTGAACAAGGACATTAAAATGTGCTAAGCAAAAATTTCACATAATCAAAGAATATTACAAGCAGAGTATGATCATCAAATCAGGCAAAAGTTATAGGCATAATATTATCAATTACATGTTTAGTTGTAACGATGATAAATTGACAAGCATAAAAATCTGCTTCAAACAATAGACAATTGCCTGATAACTCCTAAGAACAGTTGGGAAAAGCCATACTTACCCTCATTTATATTAGGATTAACAGAAGCTTTATTCGTCATGGAGGATATTGCTCTTTCTGCAGCTCCCATAGCTGTTTTGACAATGTCACAGTCTATGGCTGTGGATAAGGTTCCGCGAGCCACTGCACTATTTGGGTTAGTGCTAGCTTTACCAACACATGTCCCACCCAAGGAACAGCAAGGATATGATGTGCATGGAGTCACCAAAGATTGACATACATATGGGCAACACGAACAGATGACAGTTGAGTGTGAAGCTTGACTTGTATGAATTGGATATTCCTGAGAAGTACAAGAGGTACCCCATTGCGCAGCTGCACTAGAACCCTCAGCAGGATGTTGGTAATTCCAGCTACCAAATTGCTGCATCTGCTGCAGAAGCTTTTGTCTCTTCTCTTCAACCTCGTAATACTGGCTAAGCAATTGGTTATAGTCTTCTGTACCTTGCACATCTGAATAGCCTTTATGGCCATCTTCCTTATCCTGCATTGGCAGATTATTTGATGACTCTATATAAGGTTCAGGCATCTGCGAATTTATGTTATCATTTTCTTCATCTGGTTGAAGATCCTTTGCCTCAGCCGACTCTGTTCCAGTATCTGATGTAGCATTGCTGTTCTCTCCTGCATCCCTGTGTCTTCATGAAGCAGAAGAAGTGAAAGTAAAAACTTAATATTCAAGTCTCAGGCCAACAATGAAACAAGAAAACTTGAATAACAGTAAAGAAGCAGAAAGAAAATGCAGATGACAAGATTCTACCCTCAAACAACATATCTGAAAATCATCAAAATCGAACTTCATATAAACGATTCATTCAATCAGCAATAGAAACCATGACAGTTTCCTTAAAACAAAAAAATCCCATCGTCAACAGCATATTCATTCAACAACAGTTTCTGAAAATTACACAAAACTTGCATTTCTGAGACAAAGGTATACTAATATTCATAACCTCTAAAAACCGGGAAAGAAAGGCTTACTTCATAGCTTCATCACCGCATTGATCAACAACAACAGAGACATTTGCCTCACTGGTTTTCTTGCCATGCATCCTCTGCAGAACAAAAATGCAAATAACAATTAAACAAAATCCAATTACACACTTAAAAAAGTTTGATTGCAGCTGAAAACTGAGAAAACCCAAACAAAATCAAACGTCAAGAAGAGAGAAGGGAACCTTGTATTTGGACATAGCGCTGTCGAAGGCGTCGACGAGGGCAGAGTCGTCCCAAAGATCACCTTCTTTGCCCATGTTTTCTTCCTCTGTCGAAGGATTTCCCCGGTTCCTAGAACCAGTGGAGGGACAGCCAGACGGGGACTAAAACTAAAACCCTTCCCCAGTTTTGTTTCATTTGGGCCTAAACCCCAAAGCAAGCACACTATAACATGTTAAAGAAAGCCCGAACACCGGAGGGCTCCAGTCTGAACCCGGCCATTAGCCCAATGCAGCGATGCCATTTTCCGATTTAGGGCCACAGATGGCATTTTCAAGTTAAAATACTAAATAGAAAAATAATTATCTCTTTGAGTTCGAGGTAATAGTTTATAAATAATTAATAAAAATAAGAATAATAATAATAATTTATTCATTATTATGTTCGAGTAAGTTATGTAACTTATGAAGAGGCATTGGTGACTAATATAACGAGTGTACTTGAGCACAACACAGATTAAAAGTGAAAGCAACCATCTTGATTATCTTAAATATCTTTTGATGTGCATATATTTATATCATTTAAATTTAAATGAAGCATAACGGTAGGTTGAATGAAGAGCTCGATGACTGTGTTGGGACTAAGTAAACTTAAGGATTTTATGCATCAAGAGGCTTAGTGGTACATCTTTTACTACATAATTGACTGCTTTGTGACAATTAGCATGGAGCTTGGTGATATTTGTTTTTCTTAGAAAGCTTCTTCTTCCTACAAAGAAAGAGTTGGAAGACCAAGACCATAAATTAAGGTCAAGTGGAAAAGGAGAACGCCTTGTTTATTGGCTCTGCGGCAAAGAAAAGTCACAGCTTCACTTTCGCTTTTAAAAGGGGAGGAAAGACTGGACCAATCAATCATATGCCTGCACCCACAGATTTTTGGGTTGTGCTGCTTCCCTCTGTCCCTTTCCCTTCAATAACAATATATATATGTACATCTCTTTCGCTTCTCTTGCCATGCTTTCCTGAATGAATAACACAAAGTCTTTCTTTAGCAGGACCTGGTATGCTTTTGTTTTTTTGTCCCAATCAAAAGAGGAATAAGGACAGAAAACTTGGTCATGTTATTGAATTGATAACCTTGAAAAGATCAAAGCAGAGTCATAATCTAGCTGTAGTATGAATACCCTTTTGCAAGAGTTACTTTAGAGTGGAGGGAGTTTCTATAAATCTTCAGGCCCAATGCTCTAAGAAAGATCCCAGAAATTTAAAAAAACAAAAAAAGCAAAAAAAGATAAGCGATTGAATCAGACCCCACGCCCATTTCCTAAAATCAAAAGGCATATCGAGACACTTGAAGAAAATAGCTTATTCTTCGATTATTTCAAACCAACATTCATACTTTCTTTGGTAGCTTTATAAAATCATATGCTCATTCCTAGTCATGGCCGGCGCAGAAGTCATCTACTTGGCCAACAAGTTATTGATGCTGAATATTGTCCATGGAATCTTCCAATCAGGAAAAGAAAGCCTCCTTCTACATCTTTACCTAATCAAATTCAATAAATCAATTAAAAACACAGTATCTATTCTTCATCTTCCGAGTAATTCAATCTGCAAATTAATAGATAGTAATTTACTAGTCAATAACTCAAATTCATTCTAATTTTTTCCAATACAACCCAAAATTCATCTTTGGTGCACGTTTTTGATAAGAACGATTTTTCTACATGAATTCTTGGTTATTAAATTGAATATATTTAGATGCTATTTCTTATAAGATGTCTATTAAAAGATAACGTAAGTATCTTAAACTGAGTTCAACGAGAATAAAAATTTGGTGCGGATGAATCCCAATAACTTAAAAATTCTTTAAATTTGATGCAAATTCAGATTCCAAAGGCAGATAGAAAAACAGAACTTAATAGGGGAAGTCTGAATTTGGGGACGGTAAAGAAAATATACTGATATTAAGGTTATTCTCATAGCACTAGGATCCAAGCAGACAGTGTTTGGGTGTTGGAATTTTAACGTTTTGATCGAATCAGATGCCTTTTTACTTTTCTCACTACTTTCTTACCGATTCCCGGAACCTGCTGCCGCCAGCCAAACATGGAAATGTTTCCCACAGAGGCGTACACCAACCGCAGCCTTGTTTATGGCTTGGGTTTCCACATAGGAATGCAAGCTCGGCCCAGTTTTTGTTGGCCTTGGATTGTTAAGACCAAACCCAACCGGTTCCAAATCATTATTCTCTTAAAATAACCCCTTTTTTTATTTTTAAATATGTTCCAAAGTATCAAAAGTATTTTTCTTATTTTAAATTTTCAATAAACAAATAAAGAATCAAGAGTTTTAGTGATCTTGGTCTAGTTCTTCAAATTTTTGAGAAAAAAAACCTAATTAATGAGACTTATTTAAATGAAAAAAAATGTAATAAAAGAGATTTAATTTTATAAATTAAGTACCACTAATAATCAGGGTGAGCATTAATCGGCTCAAAACAAAACAATTCATGGAATCTTATTGAATTTAGATAATTTGAGTCGGATTTAGATTTTTATAATTTACAATTAAATCAATAAAAAAATCAACCATTAATAATGTTCTCAAATATAAGTTATTTTATAATTAATCAAATCAATTATTCCAATTGCTTTTCACACGAATTCAATTAATTCAAAATTTAAAATTTTAAAATCAAACTGACTAAATCAATCAAATATTGATATTCAGCAACGGGTCATCGTGTCTCGTTTTTTTTAATGACTTAGAAATAATGTAGTTGAAGTTGTAGTACTACTATCACCTTCTCCAGCAAGTAGCGTTAAAGGGAGTTTCCATTTACCAAGTCTCAATCCGGCAGTTGATGTGCAAAACATTTCTGCATTCTTTAGGTTGAGGAAGTTTCCCACTGCTACCAAATAATTTAAGTACCAATAAGGATAGTACCATAACAACAAATAAACACTTAGTTGGTATTTACACAAAAGGGCCCCACTTTGGCTAAGAGACAAGCCTTGTGCTGGTGTGCTCTCACGCACCCAAATATTAAAGATTGACGCGAACCTCACGAACTTTATCTTCTTTAGCAATTGGGTCCCACCCTCTCAATTATTCCACTCCTGCATACCAAACAAAATCATATCAAGTCAACAGTATGTTCTCTGATTTCCCGATTGTACCCCACTGAAGTTTTTGATTTTGCAAAATTACCCTTCTTAATTAAACTCGATAATTCTTGAATATTCTTGGGGTGAGTTTGAATTTAAGGTTATTGTATTCATTTTTTAAATAAGTTTAATTTATGATGTAATTATGTTTTTTTCTGAAATTTTGATGTAATTATGTTAATTTGATTAATAAGATTAATTTAATTTATTTATGATGTTTATTAAATAGATTTGTATTAACAGTGTTTAAATAAATTTATTAAATATTATATCATATAAAATTTACTCTAATTTATTTAACAAATAAGTTGATCATGTGATAACATATATTATAAATATTAATAAGTTACATAAACATGACATGCTGACATGCTTATGACAATGTAATAAGAATTAGAACAATGTTTCTAACAACCGCCTTTAGGAGATTTTTTTTGAATGTCGAAAATGACCCTTTTCAACCCAAACTGATCAAATGTCTTTCCTCCCGTGTGTAGTTTCTGCGTCAACCAAACCGAAGGTCCAATCAAAATCGACACGGTGACAGACAGCTGGTAACTTTATCAATCCCCCGCGATTAACGTTGGATGGTTGGATCTGCCCTTGCTTTTCGTCCAAGTAAGGGTGATAGAGAGAGAGAGAGAGAGAGAAAAAAAAGAATTCACGGGGAAGCAATGAGAGACAGAAAGGTGCAAAGACCGCCGACTCTGGAAACGCCGTCAACGCTGGGGGATAAGAGACAGGTTCATTCTTATTAACGGCGTCGTATCTCATTTTGAGCTTAGGGTTTTCGAAATTTCTCTTTTTTTTTTTCTTTTTTCTCTCTCTCGCTCTCTATCCCCCTCCCTCTTCTCTCAAACTATCTTTCTCCCAAAAAATAAAAAGGAGAATTAAAACAAATAAAAATAAATGAAAAACCCTCTCATATCATAAAAGAATCACTACAAATTTATCTCATCCTCAGGTAATATCTTTCATTTTCTTTTAGTTTTAGGTTTCTGTGGGTTTTTTTTTTGGTTGGATTTAATTTTTGAGTCCGGATCGCTTAGATCGGGTCAGATCTTGGCTTCTGCTGGGCGTTCATTTGATTTTGTTGGATAATTAATTTTTTTGAAGGTTGATTTCTGTGAATATTTTGTTTTTTTGGAGGATCAAGAAGGATACTCTTAGATTTTGCGAGAAATTACAAGATTTCTTAAATTCCTAATTTTCGTTGTTTGACTCAGTTTTTTGAGCCAAGAAAGCAATTTAGTTTGTTAATTTGGGTTGAGTTTTCTATTTTCTTTTTAATTTTCCTGATCTCGCCGTTTTTACGTGAAATTACAAGAATTCCTGAAATATTATTTATAGATATTTTGGCTTAGTTTTAAAGAAAATATTTAGTTTGTTAATTTGGAGAAAATATGTTTTAAGGTTGATTTTCTATTTTATTTTTCCATTTTAATTTTTTTTGATCTCGAGACTGAAAGTATTTGCGAGAATTTACCGGTTTTTCTGAATGTTGATTTCTTTGGTTTTGTTGATTTTTTTTACTCTGATTTCTCGGCAGGATTCATCGTAAGATTTAAATTTTCGGAATAAATTTTGCTTGTTTCATTTTGCGGTTTGAGGTCAACGGGGTTTCATTTTGTTGATTTACAGATTTTCGTAGTTATTTTTTTTAAAAAAATTTGTTCATTTTTTCAGGTCAACGCTGTTTGGTGTCTCAAGATTTATGTGATTAATAATATTTACTCCGATCCGAGTAAGGATTGTGGTTTTAGTGAAAATTCGTGTGATTTATTGAAGGTCAACGTGGCGTTTGATCTGTAAAATTTGTTGCTCAGAAACTCAAAAGAAGGAAAGAAAGAAAAGGGGAAAAAATTGAAGAAATCTGTACATTTTTTATTCATTTGAACTTATTAAAGAAAACAAGAATCCAGAGAATTGTTGAACCATAATTTTGAAATTTGTTTGCCACAATATTTTTAGGTGCTGTTATTTGATGCAATAGGAGGCAGGGCTTCTTAATGCTGTAGAGTAAATAAGGAAGTGGCTCTCTCTTCTGTGAATTAACCTTGTAAAAAAAAAATGAAGAGGAACATGTGCAACATGAGCATGTACAGGATCGACACTAACTGCAGTTCTAGGTATGCGTTCCTCTTGCGGCACAGTGATTCTAATAAGTATGGTTTGATATGCTTTGAGCCACTTGTTTGACTAGTTGGTTCTGTTAAGTCTGAAGTTTTGTTAGTTATGTTTAACTTATATCTGTGTCTATTAATGTCCTGACTTCTTTTTTTTTTTTTTGTTTTACAGGATTTGCATGTCAACTTTTAGGGGGCAGTTTCTTTCAGATTGGTAGTGACTAGATTTCATATTCGTTTTTACGCTAGAAGTTTTGGTTTTAAAGTTGTTGGTAGGGATTGATCTAGGTAGAAATGGAAGCACAGAACGCCATGGTATTGGATAGTAAACCTGGGGTTCTTCATGGCATGAAGAGAAAACGGGCAGTGCAGCAAGCAACATATTTTCCTGGAGCTTCGCATGTGATATTACCACAATTGCCCAGTTTGAATTTATCACCCGAGAAACATGGCAAGCGGAGGAGATTAGAGGATTGCAATGGAAAAGTTGTGAGTTGTGGTTATCCTTCCAAAAGATCTTTGCTGCTTTGCTATTCAAATTTTAGGAAAACAGGCATTCCAAAGCGCATAATGTTCTTTGAAAATGGTGAATGGAACGATTTTCCCAAGGATCACATTTCCTCAATTAGGAAAGATCTTGACGCAAAGACACCAGCTATTCAGCTTGAGAAGGATGGTCAATCTTTTTTGCTTGATTTTTTGCATATGTTTCGACTGGACTGTAAAACTGGCTTGAAACATCCGATTGCTTGGATTGATGAAGCAGGTGGCTGTTTCTTCCCAGAAACATTTGCTGGTGAGGATGAGCCATACCAGTGCTGTGAGCATGAATTTGAGAATGATAAAGAATCCATGTTTAGTGAATCGTATGCCCCCCCTGAGATCAAGCTACAGCTTGAGATTGACATTAATGGTGTTGAGCAATCAAAGTTGAAGGAATGTAGTGGGGAGTCAAGTTCTTTTGATAGACATTTTCAAATTGCTCAGAAACCTGCATCCAGCCATTGTGCTGTAGAAGTTGAGGACAGTTGCGACAGGAATGCTGATGGCAAACCCGGCAAAGCTTTGGAGGATAGGACAAACTTAGTACCTGAAAAGGAGTTTGCAGGTGTAGAGTTGGAGGAACAGTTGGTTAAGAAGATGTTTCTTATGGGTATGCAGCATTGTGGAGGTGTGGATATTCTTGCTGTGGAAACCTGCTTCAGTGCATCAAAGCAATACCGATTTGAGTGTTTCCAGAAGCAGGTTCAAATTTTGGAGAAGTATCGGGGGAGTGCAAATGTTCAATATGCTTGGCTTGCTTTGTCAAAAGATGCACTGTCTACCATCAGGATGCATGGGGTTGGGCTTTCTGAGCTGTCTGCAATTCCACATTTATATGGCGCTGGTGTTCATCTTGCTGCAGCCAAATTAGCTAATGCCAGGTTGGAGATTTGTTTCAGTGTTTTCTGTGTGAATACTTTCGAATATGCAAGTTCTTTTGCTTTTTTTTTTTTAAATTTTCTGCGAAGAAAATCTGCAAGGCTTCTATTGTAATTTTGTTAATTGAGTAATTTTTTGTATATCAAGAGAAGTTCCTTTCTTCTTGCCCTCCAAAGATAAATGCTTAGGCCCTTGTGATTACAAAAGGGTTTGAGCTACCTACTTTTCAGAAATAGAGTAAGTAAACATGAACTTTTTTCCAATTCACGGCAAATGAACAAGTTATCAGTCACATTTTTGCCTTATAATGACACTTGTCTGTTTAGGTGCTTAGAATGTAGTGAATAGAACTGTTTTGTTACTGTCTTTTTCTTCTGCTCTTTGTTGGAAGTGTCCCAAAAGTACATTATCTTATGTTCCACATAAATAGTTTTCTCTATTGAAATTTAGGGAAAATATTTTTGTTGAACTTTTTATTCATGTTCTTGTCAGGCTCACTCTGAATGCATACTTCTTACTCTTGTGAAAAAAAAGTTACTTTCTTTTCTTTTTTGTCATTGATCTCGTCAATATTTTAAGCACTAATTGCTACTGGGTAGTGGTTGTCTACTTTCTTCACTGATTCCTTTATCTGCCACGTGTTTAAGAATCCCAACCAGATAAACGTTTCCTTATTCATCTCATATAAAATATTCAAGTTTATTTTCCATACTGTGGTGATTTTCAGGACTGAACACTTACTACTTATTTGTGCAGCGCAAAGTATTGTGATGTTGACGAAAATGGAATACAATACATGGTATTATGTCGTGTAATAATGGGAAAGATGGAGCTTCTTTGCCGTGAAAGTACACAATGTCTTCCTAGCAGTGAGGATGTTGATAGTGGAGTGGATGATCTTCAGCATCCAAAGTACTATATAATCTGGAACATGAATATCAACACTCACATACATCCAGAATTTGTTGTTAGTTTCAAGCTCTCCTCCATTGCTAAAGGTGGTACATTTCTCCTTTAAAATGTTTATTTGATGAATATATTCATTCTTAATTTCTTTTATCTAACATCAAATTGGATACTCTACGCAACCCATGGAACATGGCGAGTAAATTTTGATGGTTGCCAATCAACTAAACGACCTCAACGGTCCAATCTTCATTTCAAACTTGGATGGCAAAAGTTTTAAGTTTGTTAATTTAAGAAACAAGGCTTCTTCCATGATGCGTTGATATCTCCTCTTGGTGGGGCTTTTTGTTTTTTCATTCAAGAGATCACTCATCACTCCAACTACTGGTTCAATGAGTTAGTTGGCTGTGTCTTCTGCAAATTCTGTATGGCTATCATATATTTCCTTTTTTGAAATATTTTCAGTTCTTTAGCTCTTCAACTTTATGTTGTTCCGACAGGGCATTTGATTGGAAGTGAGACTAATCGTGCTGTTTCAGGCATCACTGCATCTTTGCAAGGACTTCAGGGTCGTTTTCCAGTAGTGTCATCTGCTGGTGAATTGGTGAGTAATATATGTGGTCTGCTGTTTCGTCCTGCAACAGTGTTCATTAGGTGGTTGCTATTTGAGCAATCAGATTCTTAACGCTTTGAAATCTGCATTCTGGAGCGGTAGATGCAACAAATTATTTTGTGTGATTCAGTGTGACATGTTTCTATAGTATCTATATGATATAAATAATTTTGACTTATGTCAGCAAAACTGGTGGAGGGAAAGGCGCACATTTAGAAGAAATTTAGAATGGAACTGAGTAATTTATCAGTTTCTGCATCATGAGACAATCTTTATGCCCATGTTTTCTGCTGTACAGCAACTCAGATAACCTTTGTACTTGGGATATATGTGTGGGTTTTGATATTACTTTTTTAGGTGAGATTTGCTTATGTTAACTGGTGATTCTTTTGTCATTTAGGGGAGTATTACTCACCAAACTTCAGATTCAGGGGGATCCCAAGAAAATGATACTAGCCTGGGTTCAAACACTTCAAAGACCCCTAAATCCCCCTGGATGCCTTTCCCGATGTTGTTTGCTGCTATTTCAACTAAAATTCGTCGTGTAGATATGGACCAAGTTACTAATCATTATGAACTATTCAGGGTATGTTCAATAATATGTTTAATTGTTAGTTTCCCTCTGTTGTTATTAAAGTTTTCTGATTCTTCTGTGTTATCTTTTTTTGGATGCTTCATCAGGCAAAGAAGATAAGTCGTGATGACTTTGTGAAGAAGTTGAGGTTGATAGTTGGAGATAATTTGCTGAGGTCAACAATAACATCTCTGCAATGCAAGGTATGAGTTAAAACCTTTGTGGCATGATTTAATGGCTTTGCAATGCAATAGCACTAGAATAGGTTGGTATGATTTAACCATATACTAATCCGGTTTTTCTGGTGATTTGCAGATACCATCTAGGCAGGACTTGCAGGTGGCGAAGCAGAACATGAAGGGTCCTGGCAGCCTCTGAATTATCATTTTATATGTTGGTAGCCTGCTGCGTTTGTATCCTTGCGGAGGCCTTCAGTTTGGTGATGTGCGGGGACTGTCGGTTAAAATGTGTCGACATGAAGGTACTGTAGGGCTTAGGTTTTTGTTATCATCGTGTAATTGTTAGGTAATTTTCTCAAGTAGCGAGAAGGATTTCACTCTGAACTTGTTTTTATGGTACTTTGTTTTTACGGTACTTTGTTTTTACGGTACTTGTTCCTAATGTGGACCGTTGTAATCAATACTTGATACCCGGCGCTTGTTGAGTTTCCCATATTTCTATTCAAAAACTGAAGAGGGCGGAGAAGCTTCAAAATTCAAACCAAATCTACCCCACCCCAATCCACTGAAAAGAAACAAGAAACCTATTTTCAGTTTCTTTTACCAGCTGTTGCGGCTAAGTGGTGACAATTGCGAACACGAAGAAGAATATCCCTTACTGTGTAATTGAGGAATTGGTCATAAGTTGAATGAAGTGTTTGAAGGTGCGTTTATGTCTGTGTTCGAATCCCAACCTCAAATGTGCTAAATGTAGAGAAAGTTATAAGAAAATTTTCTGCTTGAACTAGGTAGCTTTACAAAAAGAAATCAAGCAGTAAATTTCCAGACACAAATCGCATTTCTAGCTGTACAATAATCAATTTTCCCATGTAGCAGGTAGTCCATCAGTTGGAGTTGATGGATCACACCCTGGTGGCTTGATGTTTGGCCAATCCCCACGACATCCTAACCTTATATAGAGGCTCTTCTTACCTTCAAACACAAAGCAGACAAAAACAATAGCGAGTTAACAGGTTGGTTAGAATTGAATGCCCTACTGCAATTTCACATTAACACCTTCCCTTTCCTCACCCCCCTAACCTGGTAATGTCTGTTTATACATCTGTTTCCTCTTACCTACACATGAAGGGCAATACCTGGAAGTTTCTTGTCCGATAGAATTAACTGTTTGAGGGCACTTAAGGATGCTTGCGCTACGCTTTTGGCATGGTCAGCATCCCAACCCTGGAGCTTCACAGCCACATCTGCATTGGAGTAGCCAAGACCCCCGTCTTGAACAGGCCTTGTGGCTTCCTCCTTTGCAGAATCCTCATCTGCATTGGGATTTCGGGAGTTAACTGAAAATCATTTTAATAGCTGCTTTTTATCTGTACCTTTAACCTGAAATTAGGTATGCAGGCACTTTATCCTGACTCGTGGAGCATCTACTACTTGGTCGCAGAATAACTAAAGGACTATTTACAGTTATAAGTAAGGATCACCAGCTAAAATGATATACATGGAATGTATTTTAATGCACCCAAAGCATATATCATGATAGCTTAAAGTGAAGCCTGGGTTGTTGACATTACGGTTGCACAAAGTTAAGGGATTCTTACACCTAGTATATTCATGTGCAAATCTATTGGTCCCAAAGTTGTTGGAAACAACTTATCATCAAGAGAAATACAGATAAGAGTAGCTTGTCTAAAATTAATTAATGGATAAAGGGCAAACAAAACTGTACCTATAGCTTCAGTTTGTGACAACCAGACAGTAAACCCTGAATAAAGATGCCTCCATTTATCCGCCCTTCCAGCAGCTCCATGTGACCCTCCTAATGTTGCAACAACGGCCCGGACATGACTGCCAGAACAAGCAAGCAAAAGGAAGGCATGACAATATGTATTTGGTGACAAGCAAATTAAAATAAGTAATATAAGGCATATGCCTTACCTACTTAAGCTTTCCAATATAGCACTTTCTGCTTCAGCCACAGAGTCAGAACCTTCGGCCAGCACCCCTGGAAAAATCACACCAATTAATAGCTGCAAGCTGTTTAACAGAAATCTCTCCGAGTTTGTGAGCACTGGCTCTTTAAGTCATATGACATTGACAAGATATGAAGTAGATCATAGTGCATCTCTTTTGCCTTATGATGTAGAATGTCAAGGCAAGTGCCTAGGAAATTCATTACGGAAAAAGGTGTGCAAGAGTTCATCTCTGATGAGGATTTGTACTGGCTATAATGCACGAGGCAATATCAAGAATGACAACTAGTGATTCAATGGTACACAGATTTAAGAGTCGATACAATGTGACTCATTACACATGCGCGCACACACACACACACCCCCAAATATATATACATACATATATAAGCGTGACATCATCCAAAGTAAATTGTAAAACAGACTTGAGGTGCTTCTGGAGGAAAATATATTGACTTATAGTACTATAGACAAGGAATGAATGTATGTAACTACGTACGACAGAAAGCAAGGGAGGACATTGAGGTCCAGTAATGTGTATATCTTTGGGCCAGGGGCAGCCACTAGTAATTGACATTCACTGAAAAGGGAAAAAAATTGTACTCACATGAATCAACAGTTTGCTTGGTGAAAGTTTCTAACAACTCTTTTGTATCAAGTGGTGTGTACCTGAAATCATTTCAACCAATCAAATCATCAGAGGACACATTAAATCAAAGTTGGTTTGTAATAATCTATAAGCAAATCAAGTTACAATATAGTTAGGTATGATACAATTCTGGCTTTTAATGACTTAACCTAGATTACGACTATGTCAATGAAGGTCATGAACTTGAGGAACAAGAACTATTCTTTTTCTATCGGCTGAAATTAGGACAACATGTAAGAAAGATGAAGATTCACAATAACAAGTAACAACACATGTAATGAGAAAGTCAAGTATCAAGAAGAAGAATCAACAGGTATGTAACAAGAAACAAGAGGCAAAAAAGAGAGAACTGGGATTGGTGAAATGTAGATCAAATACCCAAGAGCAACAGCAAGTTCGCGAGCTACTTTTTGGTTAATTTCAGTGGAATCCCCAACAATGTAAATTGAAGTTCCTGTAAGGAGTTGCATAAAACCAGCTGATAAGGACTCCCATGACTCCACGATATCTGGCCATTTCAATTCCGGGTCCTGCTTTTTTAAGTTAATAACGAGTCGATCATCATCTATATACCTGTTCAAGACAAGACCGTAAATCTAAACGTGTAAAAATCTTAATAGATTTAAGTTCATTAATACTCAGTGCCACGAACCATATTGTTTCAGCAGGCTTTATTTTCTCAAAGAGACTGTCAGTTTCTATAAGTGTGATGAAGGACCCAGCCTGCCGTACGTTTACAGTTAGAGAAGTACCATCCACATCCACAAATATATCTTTGGCACTTGGAACATCTTGGCCGCCCAGTTGCAACCTTAGTTCCACTTCAGAAGACTCATCGGAGAACTGTAACATGCTCCATCGAATAAGTATGGCCCGAAAACAAACACAAATGATAAAAATGACTGGAAAATCAAAAGAATACATTCTCAAATTCATGAATTATGTATAGACGGATGGCCTTGGGAAAGTTTCCTTCTAGTCCAAGAGATTGTCACAAGTTTAGTGTTAGCATACATGGGGGCAGAGTTTCAATCCAACAAATGAATCTGAACAGATAATGGCATTGATAGAATTACATTGGCATAGTTATTTGGTTCAATTGATAACTATATTCATAACATTCTCTTCCTGAAAAGAAGAATCTGCTTTTCTAGTGACGAATTGCAACTCTATACAAGTAAACAACCTTCAGATTCTAATCTGGGTTTCTTATTTGGATTATTACACAATCAGAGTCCCAAAAAAATAAGGGAAAAATTGAAAATTGAGACCAAAATCAAAAGCCTCATCGGACAAAGAAAAACCTTTACAATTTCAAATATCAAGCTGAATTAAATTAATTGGCCTAGTCTATCTAGTTATCAGAAAAACAAGAAAGAAAGAGCCAAAAAAAGACCGCTAAAATATGCCTATAAATACATTCAAAGAAAATTTACCTCATAGTGGGTAGTGTTGGCGGAGATGGTGGAGAAACAGTTGTAGGAGAAGCCATGGAGTGGGCTGATGGGTCTCACAGAGTTCCATCCAAAGGCAGAAACTTTGGGTTTTGGGAAGTAAAAAGAATGTGTTTTGGTAGAGAAATGAAGGGTTTTGATAGGGTTTTGCGATGAGAAGCAGAGCGTGGCACTGGCGCTGGCAAGTGCACCAGCCATTGCTTACTTCATCTGATCTAGAAATGAAGAGAGAGAAACAGAGCAAACAAGTGTTACCAGCACTTCATTAAAATTAATGGGGTAATAAGCCCAATCCAACAAATCAAAATTGGGTTCCCGGGTTGGGGTTCTGCCTAAAAAACATGTTAACCATGGGCTGGACCTTCAACCCAAACAACTGCTTTGGACTTCAGTCTGTAAGACCGGAAGTGGGACAAGAAAGAAAATGGGTAGACCTCATTTGGGTTTTGGGGTTTGGTTATTGACCAGGAGAGTATCTGGCCATCTTCAGAAAGAAGTATTTCCAAGAATGTAGTGTATACTAAAAAAATCATTTGTTTTTGGAAAGGGAACAGAGAACTTTCTGCAAGCACCTTTACAGATTTGCCTTGTTGGTTTGGGAGAGAGTAAACTGTAAAGAAAGAATGCCAAAAAAAATCAATTGCTATTTATCTACATTCATGGTAAACTATGAGAGATTCTCTTGTTTGTTTGCACCTTTTTTAGGTTTAGAAAAGTCTTTGGCAAAATAGATAATCTCAGAGTCATATTGTAAGAGATGGGTGCAAATATCCATATTTACTCATAAAGGTTTTCTTGGACAGTTAAAAGGAAAAGAAATCTATAACAAACAGAGACCAAAAGAATCAAGCAGCTAGTCTATTGATATCAAAATGAATATCTTTTTTCCAAAAAGAGATGGGAAAATAACAAAAATACTAGGAAAAAAGGGAGAGAGAGAGAGAGAATGGTCCTGTCCCTGTGGTGGGAGAGTCAATGAGAGAGTGTTGTGGTTGTGGTAGTCCCCCGGACCACCAGAGATAAAATGTTTCACCCTAAGTCACATCATGCCATCACCATGCATTAAAAGCTACCTAATTATGAATGAATGATTCATTTCAGACTTTCGGATAAAAAGATAAAATGAAAAACTCCCAGTCTGAATCAGGTTTCAGTGCCCTCCCCTCCCTCTCCTGACGTCTTCACTTCCCCCTTCCCCCTTCCCCCTTCTTCTCAGATTATTCAAAAACACACCCCAAACCTTCCTTCTTCTCATCTGATTCATACCTTCCCAATTTTTAGATTTTGTTGGTGGTTAATAGCACCTTACAATCAATGAAACTTTATTGCCAACAAAAGGGACCGAGTAGGTATATTGGTATTTATCCCTCCATAGTAAAAGTTGGTGT